AACATCTGACACATCCATCATTAGATCTTGGCTAGCCAGGATCTGACCAGAGCGAGGTGCTCCGACTCAGCTGGTAGCTTGTTGTCTTGAACTGATCCACTGACTCTGACTGCAACACACTACTGCTAGAGTTGCTTCCGCTACATTCGACCTTGCATCGAGCTTTGCATCTCCTGCATCAATACACCCATCTTCTGATCTTGGACACCAAAAGTTGATCATGAGCAGGGTTCATCTGGCGTTGGGGCACCTTGCAGCTTTCAACTAAACCATTGATCTGTGGCTTTAATTGATCTTATCTCTGACACTGACCATCTGCTGCTAGGACGGAAGAGAGGTGGAAGAGAGGGGTCGCTAAAGATAAGGTACTAAACCACTTGCCTACTGATCTGTTGTGAGTACACTTTTATTGTTCAAGTTGCTTAAGCAAACAACCTAGTATGGTCGCATCCCCACCAATGATGCAAACCATACCCCTACACACAAGCAAACAACACACGATCTAGAAAGCTAACGGAACTACTCTTCTGGGAAAGATTGGGTTTAGGTCATCTCCGAGAAAACTTCACTTGATCTTCGCAGAACGACGACTCTGAACTGATCTTCTCGCTCCTTGCACGAAGCTTGAGGCTCGAATTGACTTGACTTCCGAACAGACATGAAGCTGACAGCTGGTCCTCTAGGTGTGACAACTACAAGAATTGGAGAGACTGGGAGGAGAATTTTGAAAAACCGTTTGACAAAGAAATGCCGAAGGGCGAGAGGAGACAATTTGCAAATAGGGTTTTCAGAAAACTTGTCCTTAGGGTTTGACCATTTGGCTCAACCTACAGTCAAGTTGGCTCTGATACCACTTTGTCACGCCCAGAAATTTAGCCCAAATTTCCAGACTATTTTGTGTATTAAATCCCTGTCCAGGACCAGCCAGGGTACACAAAACGACAAGTAATATACAGTTCCAAACGTAAATAAAGCGTAAAATACTTACAGAAAAGGCACTTAGTCCTCACACCGAAACAAAAACAGCAGCAGCGGAAAAAGGCGATCCTAGCGGGGCTTCAGCTCCACTCCACAGGCAAAACTCAACTGGGGTCTGAGCCTTGGTCCTCTAACTTCGTCTTCAGCTCAGAAGCACTACACTTCTGAAAAGGGGGAATAATAGCAAGACTGAGTACAACCACCGTACTCAGCAAGCCACACCAACGATGCAGACGTGCAAGGGGAACACAAGGACGGTTTGTGGCTATTTGCATAAAGGCGGTTGTAAAACATTTTATTGAGCAAAACAGTAAAACTGTTGAGTAATTAAAGTAACATTAAATCTCCACTGATCAACGCTACACCACGTTGAACAGGCCCAACCAACCCACCTAAACTACAGTGCATTGGGTCGATTTATTAAGATGGGACTAATCACGGTGAATCTGGTCGACCGCCCATAACCGCGGGCACGGCTATTCGAATAGTTTTACTCTGATCAGAGGTGTACAACTGTACCCACAAGACACAGCCCCACGACACGTTTCCGTGCGCCGACATGCCACCACGACATACCGGAAAGAGGCCGTGACAGGACCCTTCGCATAACCCCCTCTAGCCAAGCACACCACACCTCAGGTTTCACCCCCGTTCCCAGCGGGCAACGGGCAGTCCCCTCTCGTGCCTAGGTGAATCCGGAAGCGACAGAGGCCGTCGCAGGGCCCGCCCCGCTCCATCACGCCCACCCTTGCCTGGATGCGTCGACTAGAGGAAAGATACACTACAAGTCCAGCCGTTGCCCACGCTGGCTTGTGGTAAGTACGATAAGTTCTTCCAGGGCATCCCGCGAACCGGTCCTTAATTGCCATGGGTGCGACCAGCAAAACCATGCACCCACAGCCCACCATTCAGTTGCATTTTAGTTGGATAATTACGACCATGAAGCATGGCCAGATGTCTCGAGCACGCAGCTCAACAAGATACTAGAATGTCTAATACTGCAATTATCCCATCAACTGAGCTAGTGGTAATTAAGCATGGCTAAGCATATAGTTCTAGCTAGGTCACATAAGTAACATGAGCTAGTCGATTCATTACCCAAGGTTGCCAAAGAATAGATATCAAGTAAACATGGCACAAGCGAGCAGATAGGTAAACCCTGATCCCGTGTAATTAGCAAAACATGCATATTTATTTGCAAACGGTAAAACATTTGTAAATTAGGATCAACATGCTCAAAGGGAATGTGTGACTTGCCTTGCTTCTTCACTTTGATCTTCCGAACTCTTTTCCTCGCGACCGCGGACTTCCGAAACGACGGAAACTACACGCTGGCACGCAAAACGAGGAAAAACTCTAATAAAGACCAAGAAAACAGTACATAAAAACTAAACAAACATGTAGAGCTCAATTTTAGATGAATTTTGCAAGTTGAATGGCTCAATTCGGAGTTCGAATGAATTAGATATGAATTTTAGAAGTTTTGAGCCATTTAAATGAATTTCTAGAATTAAACTCGATTTATTGCGCAATTATTAATTATTTTTACAAAGGAAAAGGATCTCGCTGACGTCAGCAAGGGGCGGCCGGCAAGCGGGCCCCACTGGCAGCGGCTCTATAGGGGAAAGGAGAGGGAGGGGTGGTCCACCGGCTGGTGGGCCCCACCGGGCAGTGGCTCAAGGGGAGGCGAGGGAGGCGCCGGCCGGGCTCGGCTCGGCCTCAAAGCCGACCGGCGGCCATGGCGACCGGCGGCGGCACGCGCGGTCACCGGCGGTGACCGGCAGCGCGGGAGACGGCGGCGGCCGGCGCGAAAGCGGCGGCGGCGGCCGAAGACGACGGCGCACGCGCGGAGGACGGCGGCGCTCATGGGAGAGAGAGGAAAGGAAGGAGGAGAGGGGATTCCTCACCGGCGAACACGGCGGCCGGCGCGAAGGGAGAAAACGGCGGCGACGACCGGTGATGCCGAGGCGCGAACGGGCGGCGGCGGCACCCTAGGAGAGAGCATAGAGGGGTTAGGGAAGGGAAGGCGACCATGGCGGCTTGAATTGCCGGCCGGAGACGGAGGGGAGAGAGGGTCTCACCGGCGCGCGAGGAGAAAAAAAGGCTCCGGCGGTGATTCGCGGCAATGAAGCGGCGGCCGAGGTGCGGGCGGGCTCGGTGAGCGCGACGGCGGCGATGGTGCGGCGCGGCGGCGCGACGCGGCCGACTGAAGGCGGTGTGTGGCGGTAGTGGCTCGGCCTCGCGATGGGAAGGTGGTTCCGGCGGTGGAGGAGGGAGATGGAGTGGGGGCCGGGGTAGAGCAAGGCGTGGCGATGCTAGCGGCGGCGGCGGCGCGACGCGGCGGTGGCTAGGGCGGAGAGGAGCGACGGCCGGAGCTCACCGGAAAGCGGCGGCGCCCGGGCTCGCGGTGCGGACGCGATTTGTGGCACGGGAGAGCTCGGGGAAATTGGGGAAAAGAGAGAAGGGAGCTCGTGGATGCTTTTTATAGACCGAGGGAGCGACGGCGAAGCCGGGGAGCGGCGGATTTCGAGGGGAAGTGGGGCGGCGTCGTGGGGGAGAGAGAGACGCGGGAGGCGGCGACGTGGCCGGATTTTGCGGGGAGAGTGGGGGAACGGCGCGGACGTGAGCGGCGAGGTCCCACGGACGAGCGCGCGCGCGGGGTGGAGGAGGTGGGCGGAATCGGCGGCGACGTGGGGAGACCGTGGCGGCGGTTTCGGCTGAGGGAGCCGGAGGTTAGGGATGGCCCTGACAGGTGGGGCCCACCTGTCGGCGGCTCGGGGGAAAGGAGAGAGGAGGAGACGGTTGGGGGGGCGATGACAGGTGGGGCCTCGGGTCCACCTGTCGGCGAGGGGAGGAGGGAGGAGGCTGGGGGTTATGTGGACTTGGAGGAGGGGGAGCCGAGCTGGGCCGACCCACGCGAAGAAAGGAGGGAAGGAGGGAAGGGAGAATGGGCCGAGCCCAAAGACAAAGAGGGGAAGTTTATTTTGTTTTCTTTTTATTTAAATTAGTTTAATGAACTTTGTGACTTTAAAACTATTTCTCGAGCTCCGAAAATTCACGGAAAATTCCGGAGAGTACATTAGGGCACAAAGAATATTACAAAATATTCCCGGCCATTGATTTTTAAGGGAAAATTTTAATTCTCCCATTATTTCACTTGATTAAATTGATTTAACTTTTATTTAATTTCTAGAAAATGCATTATTTAATGATTTTTAATCCCGAACGAAAATCGGGGCGTTACAGATAAGGTTTGGTCTTTCGAAGTCTTAAGACAATGAGATAGCTATTTAATAAATTTTAAGTAAAATCATAGTAAAAAGTATATGTTTTGTTTAGGTGCTAGCCACGCAATTGCGCGGGCCACTTAGCTAGTTTCTTAAATAATACGGATGGTTAAACATTGCACGAAGAAATTACAGCTGCATTTAAATTAGGACGAAGGTACTAGGCCGCGTTCGATAGCGTGAGATTGAGGGGATTGGGTGAAAGCAGCACTGTAGTCCACCGAATAATTTACTCCATCGTGAAATGCAGTCCAGACTGTCCAGTGACAGGTGTTAGACAGCAGTAGACGGCGCCGTTTGCTACTGCACAGATGCCATTCATTTGGGCTTAGGTAGCTGTAGCGTCTATTTTTTTCTACTTGCAAGATGATAGATATTTTTTGCTGTCTCAAATAGTAGTTACAGCGTTCTATTAAAAGTAGTGACGACAAATGCAGAAAAAAAAATATTGCAATTCGACATATGGGAAAAAAATTGTTGGAAAAATAAAATATACTCCATCCGTTTTTTAATAGATGACGCCGTTGACTTTTTCTCATATGTTTGACCATTCGTCTTATTTAAAAAATTTACATAATTATAATTTATTTTGTGATGAGTTGTTATATCACTCATAATACTTTAAGTGTGATTTATATCTTATACATTTGCATAAAATTTTTGAATAAGATGAATAGTTAAACATGTGAGAAAAAGTCAACGGCGTCATCTATTAAAAAACGGAGGTAGTAGCAATTTGAGCAACGTAATGAAAAAAATTATTGAATACGAGTTGGCACAGTCCAAAGACTTGAATGCAGTACATAATACATATATCCATCACGAAATGGATTTCTTATTAAATCGTACATCTAATAAAAAGCTCGTACACTGTACAGGAGATAGTTCATGTACTTCTACAGGTTCTCCACCGAATTGGCAATGGCATCACGGTATGCGTTCATCGCTTGTGCGCTATTGCCGGCGTAATACATATTGGAGAAGGGGGGTGCCATTGGTGCTATAGGATTACCATTATACAGAGGGTTATTGGCCTGGAAGTCATTTTGCTTGCTGTCGATTCGGAAGTTGTGCAAACAAAACGCTGCCAATATTATGTTGCTCTGGACATTCTTGTATGGGTTGTACGGTATGCCTTTTAAGATTTTCCACTGTTTTTTCACAATTCCAAATTGCCTCTCAATTATATTACGCAGCTTGGCATGTATGTAGTTGAACTTCTCTTCCCTTCCTTCTGGCGGTGGAGCGCGTGGCCCCTTGAATTGATCCTTGTGGTACCGTACACGTGGGTACGGTGCCAGGAAGCCCATCCTACTCGGATATCCGGAGTCAACAAGAAGATATTTTCCTACAAAATAATAAGTTATACATGAAAACTATCAGTGCACAATTAATGAAGTGCTATATGGTGTACAAATGTAGTACTTACGAAAAGGTAGTCTTGGAAACTCCTCTGGATATGAGTCAATAGCTTCGTTTAGGACTCGATTGTCATGCACTGATCCTGGCCATCCGGCATCGGCAAATATAACTCTACCATCGAATCCAACAATTGTTAGGACATTTTTTGTTGTCTCGTCATGGCGATTCATGTGTTCTATGGCACTATCCACACCAACAGTGACCGGAATGTGTGTGCCGTCAATAGCACCTACAGCAAACTGGAATGGTCCAAAACGACTATCTTGTAGTAGGCGACGAGGGATGTCCGTAAAATTCAGATCAATTGGCTTGAGTATTTTCGACCCTAACATAACCATTCGGCTAAGAACCCTTCGAAAATAGATAGACACCGTCGAGTTCGACCGGACCCAACGATTGTTCGACTCCCTTGCAGAATTATTTCCTGCCATTGTGAACAAGAAGATTCCTAGTGCCTCCAAAGAACTTACATCATTACTCCCATGCAGGTTGTAAGGGGCATTTTCCATAATTTCCATGTAGAGTGTATATCTGATATTCCGTTAAACGGAAAATCGCACGGCACTGTGCAGGATTCGCCATTGTCTCTAGCATCCAAGTTATTCCAAATTGGGTTGGGACACGACGAGGAGCTCTTGGAGGAGCAGCTAAAATCTCTTGCATCATTGCAATAATAGCGTCATCCTCATCGCTCGTGTATTGCCCTTCAGTACCATCCGAACTCCACGATGAACCGTCGCTCATTGTGTGATTCCTTCGAAACAAGAAAAATATATAGCTTACATTAACCATTACAACATTATTTGTAAAAAAATGCACGCATGGTGTTCAATAAAAAAATTAACTGCATAAAAAATTTCACAGTGACATACCACAAGTACCAGTTCAGACTACAAGCATTAGAAATGAGTAAAGCAGATGCTAAAATCCTACTGCAAACAGTATGGTGAGCATTATTTTTTATGCCTCTCATATGAATCTCCTCCTCTCAGTGAGCTCCAGGCAACTGACCAAGCAAGAGCAACTCAATAGAACCCATTACCATCTACGCTACCAGGACCCCCACCTCCACCAGGGCCACCCCCCTACCAACCTCCAAACCCTGTATGACCTCCTGAACAAGTTGGCGGGGGTACTCCTCCACCATAACCCTGCTGGCCAGTTGGCGGGGGTGCTCCTACACCATAACGCTGCTGCCCAGTTCCTCCTTCGTATCCAGGCTGTCCACCTCCTTGGCCACCAGCTCCTTTTCCGCCAAATTGCTTTTGCCATGTCTGTACTATGTAATGGGACCGTGACTCGGGTGTAGGGCAGTAATCAATGAACCATTGACGCCAATAAGCACGCTCAAATACATCCAGTGCCATAAAGAATAAATCACTCCCTGGGTTATGTCCATCAGCTACCACCAACTGGATGCAAGCTGCTGCACTTCTAGCCCTGTCCTCTTCCACCTTCCGGGAACGGCTCTCCATCGACTGCACTCGCAAATCAGCTAGCCGGTGCAGGGCATCACCGGCTGAGTCACTTCGACTCTTCTTTGAAGCCGATCCACTCGAAGTGCCAGCTTCATCTGCTGGCCTCTTGCCTTTTTCTGCACTTGAAACTCCTGGAGTCGCAATGTTTTGTTGTTGAGCTAGCAGCTGTGAGATATTGATGTTGGGCCTTGGAGTTGGCTGCTGAGGAGGTGCTGGTGCTGCGCCTGCAACAGCAGAGTGGTTCCCTACCACTGTGCGCCCCGAAAAAATAGCACAGTGAAGGTCGATGTGCTTGAGAGGGGAATCTTTGAAGACACGAGCTCCGTCCTTTTTCTGCGAAAATGGTTGAGTAATAAAATAAATTTACATTGAAATGAACATAAGTAGTTTCTTAAATCGATTTTCATTTTTGCATTTTGTTGACGCTTTTTGAACTAAAAAAAAGACAGCAGCATACAAGTACATAACTAATGTACGCAGCAACATAGCTATTATTGGTGGCACCATGTTTTAACATCTGCAGACTGCAGGTAACATTTTACCTAGATTTTACGGTCTAACTAATTCAAGAAAATGGAGGAAGTACTATATGATATTGATATGCATTGACAATAATAGCAGATGATGAGCAGACTAAAAATCAAAAAACTTTATGCCATGTAAGCAATGTGACATGTCACATAGAGGTTGATGTCATGTCAAACTATGGCATCAACAATAGCATAGGAATACCAAATATCTCAAGATATGGCTCAGTTTTGTTGAAAAGACCTACAAGAGAATAATAAAAATAGTACCAACCATGCATTTGCTGCTTCCTAATCAATTTATTGGAAGGTAGTGAATGCAGCAGAGAAATTGTACCCCCATTCATTATAGCAAAAAAATTACATTCTGATTTTGTATCCTAGAAACACAAGGTTTTACAAAGGTACATAACACTTTCTATGAACAATATGTATGATTATACCTAAAAATAGATAACTGTGGAGATTTCATGAACTAAACAAATGTCATGGGTCCTTGTGTTAATGCAAATCAGTATGGAAATCACTATCTTCCTAGTTCGACCGAACACAACATAAGGGTAGGTGACATACCTGGTCCTTGTCTTCCCACCAATCGTCGTCAGCAACAATGGCTTGAGTTATCGGGTCACGGCCAATGCCGGTAGCCTTTGATTCCAGCCACGTCCAAAGCATCCACCTTTTACGACATTGACGCCATATGTACTTCACCTGATCCTTGGTGAGGTTTCTTCCGATTCTCTCCTTCATCTTCTGTATGAGGTTCTTGTAGCCTTGCGGCTTTGGACAAGTGGATGTTATGGTCATTGCGGACAACTCCTCCAAGCATGCCTCAAGAAATATGCCAATTTCATCGTCGCTCCATCGGATTTTACCCTCCGCCATCTACCACCCAATGTTAACAAAGCACAAATGCAATGGATCAAAAACAAATTACAATGGGCATTACCTTTTGTGGCGAGATGGGCCGGATCAGGTCCAAATCGAGGGACCGAACAACCGTCGCCGGCGACACACGACGGACGAAAGAGCGAACGCCTTCTGGGGAGGTCGCACAAACGGCTGTTAGGAAGCGGGCGGCCACATTGATGTCATTGTCACAAGGAGGGGCAGAGCTGGCGTCAGATTTGCCAGAGGCGCTCGACCCCGTCCCCGAATCCAGATTGATGAGCAGTCCGTGAGGAGCCGGTGCGGCGAACGCCAAAGGCACAGCCTGCCCCTTGGCTGCAGTCGACGGATGGATGTCCTCCCCTCTCTTTCGCTTTGTTCCCCTGGTGCCCATTGTCCACCCGGAGAAGGAGGCCTCAAATAGGAGGCCGGAGGCGAGAAGATAGCTTCCAACTCTGCCGAATCTTGACGACACTGTGACACCCGAGAGCGCTCCACCGAGTACAGCCGCATGCGGCCAAAGCTGCAGTGCCTGATGAGCAGCTAGGTGACGCAGACAACACCGGCAGCGCTCCCCGACTTCCGCCTGGCTTGATGGCAGCTCCGCCAGAGAATCCCCTTTCTCCGGCCTCGATTCGCCTTTTCAGCAGCTCCCGTGACGAGTGGTCGATTTCTCCGCGTGCCTAACAGCCCCAGGCTGACCACGACGACCACCGGACGACGCTCAGCAGTAGGGCACAACGATTCCAGCCACGGCAACCGCGCGTGGAGCCGTCGACGACCGAGAAAATTTGGCGAAGGAAGAAGGGGATCGATGGGAGAGAGAGAGAGCGAGCACGGCTGCTTGCGCTGGTGGTGGGTTGGGGACGGATGGGCCGACGAATCGATCCATCCAAATGCCGTCTGTGCCGTTTGTACAGGTGCCACGTTTAGTCACCAACGCCATTTAATATGCAGTAAATTATTCAGACATGTACAGTGCTGAACAGTGCACAATTCACCAAATCCCCTCGATCTCTCGCTATCGAACGCGGCCTAAGACTACCAGGAAGAGTGTGATGACTGATGAGAAGGCAGGACAGCTCATGGGGTCAACTGGTGATTGCTGTGATGCGGCGCATGTGTGATGAGTGGCGAAAAGAAAAAGGGATTTGGTGTGCCAGGCTGCCAGCGTGTGTGCTTGTGTGTGAAGAAGATGACGATTTTGGTCGTTCGGTTTTGAATAACGAAGGCACTAATATCACTGTATCAGTGGTTTGACAAATAGAAGTAGATTCGCTAGATGAATGGTGAAGAAATGATGATCTACATGCCGTCTTTTTTCACCGTTAATTCATCGACGTCACGATTTTGTGCGATCGTGGTCTCGTTCACGGTGTCTTAAGATTTAGGCTCTTTCGTGATGCAGGAGTTTTACCTAATTTCCTAGGAGTTCGTTTAGCGTTCCATCCGTTGTTAAGTATAAATATTTTTAGGTTATTTAATAAATACTAAGATTAGATCAAAATGTTTTTAAGTCCTTTTAGGTTGTCAATTATTTATACTATTCGCTCTCGAAGCATCTGATTTGGTTTCGAAATATTAAAATGATGAGAATTAGTATAAAAATGCTTATATTATGTTACTCCCTCCGTTTTTTAATAGATGACGCCGTTGACTTTTTCTCGCATGTTTGACCATTCATCTTATTCAAAAAATTTACGTAATTATAATTTATTTTATTATGAGTTATTTTATCACTCATAGTACTTTAAGTGTGATTTATATCTTATACATTTGCATAAAATTTTTGAATAAGACGAATGGTCAAACATGTGAGAAAAAGTCAACGGCGTCATCTATTAAAAAACAGAGGTAGTATAAAATTTAAATCCTATAAATACTTACATTTTGAAATAAATTAAGTATTTAGTTAGAGAGGTAAGACACGCATACATACACCACCACTTGGAACGCACACATAGCACACTCAAATGGTTTACTCAGAGTTGCGGCTGCGCTACATCCAATAGGAACATTGCCACAAGCATAGGCGGATCTAGGAGTGGTCCAGTGGTCTCGATATGTGCCTAAGAGCAGGTCCAATAGCATGCTATAAGCCAGTTATAAACATATTTTAAAGAGATAAAGGAAAAGAGAGAAGAGCGGCGGGCTAGGACTATAAGACGTACTGTGCGTATAACATGTAGGACCAGGTATTAATAGTATAGTAAGCAACTATTATATGAATTGGCTATTATGCTGGCTATGGATGATTTGAAGCTAGTAGTTGGCTATACTATTAAACTTGCTCTACTAGCTTCAATTCATCTATAGCTAATCTAATAGCTCATTCATACAATAGTTACATACTACACTTTTAAGAGCAGGTACAATAGCAGGCTATAAGCCAGCTATAAACATATTTTAAGAAGATAAATGAGGTGAGAAAAGAGCAGCTGGCTATAAAGATTTGTAGCCAGCTGTAGCACGGACTCCAAGACGCAGTGTGTGCATGATAGGTGGGACCATGTATTAATAGTGTAGTATGTAACTATTGTATGAACAAGCTACTAGATTGGCTATAAATGAATTAGAGTTAGTAGTTGGCTGAACTATTAAACTTGCTCTAATACATGGTCCCACTTAACATACACACAGCGCGTCTTAAAGTCCGTGCTACAGCTGGCTACAAATCTATAGTCCACTGCTCTTCTCTCTTTTTATTTATCTCCTTAAAATATGTTTGCAGCTAGCTTATAGCCTGCTATTGTACCTTCTCAAATAGCGCCAAAGCACGCTAACTAGGGCTGTGTTTAGATCCAAAATTTGGATCCAAACTTCAGTCCTTTTCCATCACATCAACCTGTCATACACACATAACTTTTCAGTCACATCATCTCCAATTTCAACCAAAATCCAAACTTTGGATCCAACTAAACACACAGCCTAGGTATGTGCCACGCAAACATGCAGCACATAAATGGGAACGAAATACTCTGTCCATGACTATAAACTTAAAATCAGCTCTGATTGATTGAGCTACACAATCGATAAGCCGTAGAAGAAAAAAGTGAAGCAAAAACAATTTGTTGTAAAATTTTATATGTATATCATTCTGATATAGAAAATAGACAAGAAAAATAGATAATCAACTATAAAACAAGTTTAAAAGTCTAAATTTTGTTGGAAGCATAAGCCAACAAGCTTGATGACTTTGTTGGCTTATTTGTTTTTTAAATAAAATCTCTACTTATACTTTTACGTATTTATACTAAAATTTTAAATAATATGAACAATCAAACATTATAAAAAAATCAACATTAACTCATATTTTAGAACGGATGGAGTACCATACTAGTCCAGGCTGTGTTCGGCAGGGAGGGTTAGGAATTCTCCCTCCAAACACGCAAAACAAAGTGGTTAATTAGCATGTAATTAATTTAGTATAAGCTATTTTTTAAAAAAAATGGATTAATATGATTTTTTAAAGAAACATTCGTATAGAATTTTTTTTTTAAAAAAACGTTCAGTTTAGCAACTAGCAGTTTATTAGGAAACGTGGAGTTGGGAACTGAAGCTCCAGGGAGACTCTACAACCAACCCATATACGAATACTACAAACAAGATTGGGACAGGGCACCTGGCCAAAGCTGCTGGAGTGTGGAGCACGCGCATGCATGCCGAGTGGCGTCCTTTTTCCCCAACCCCAACCACGCGCTCTTGCTGCCGCCTGCCGCCGCGCGCCCACAGCTTCTTCCGCTCATCCACCAGTAGCGATCACCGCATCAGAACAAAACCGAGGAAGATCCAAAGATTCAGACGGAACGGAGTTACGGACCCCGCGATCTGATTCCAACGCTTCAGAAACCCGCTTGCTGCTCGGTCAACATCCAGCGGCAGCAGGGCAGCACCAAAGAAAACATCACGATCGAAAGAACAAGAAAACCATCACAATCCTGGCCAAGGCTCGCAGGCGCGACGAAAACCGATTGAAATTCGCAGCTTTCGACCTACGGTTTTTTTTTTTTGCTATTTCAATTATCAGATATTTACATAGATTTTTTTGACTTCCATCTTACTCTCTCCTTGCACATGTTACTTTTGTCATCAAGACTAATGAAATTAAATCATCTTACATGCAACAAAGATTAAGAAGTGAATGCAACCAATAAGTATTTAGATGACTCCTTAGGTTTTATTCAAACATTTAATTTATCTCTTCGTTTATGTTATGAAATATTTGGGTGATCTCATCCATCTATATGGATAGAGCAGCAATAAATCTAGGACAGGTCGTGCCCCACACCTCTTCTCGCCTCACGGCGATTCTAACAACGGACGCGATGGTTCCCAAACCATCGCGTCTTCTATTACCGCCTCTCTCCCCCTATATATTGTAACCATTGTTATCAATAAAGGATCGCTCATTCATTCTCTACATTCTTGTGTGCAATTCTCTCTCTCACTCAATCTCTCTCGCTCAATCAATTCTATTCACAACACGTTATCAGCACTTTCGCTCTCGCGAAGGAGATCGCGAAGTGAAAGGAAGAAACATCGCTTTTGATCTAACAGAAAAGCGAACAGAAGAATCAACAAAGAAGGTACGATGCCTACCTTTCATTGGATCATGGATGTCGTTCTCGGCCTCCCTCGCCATCAGCGCGCACGCAGGCTTCACCATCTTCTTCGTCGATCGATGAGGAGGGCGCGCCGGGGATCCCGCGGAGGCAGGGCTAGGGTTGGTGGCCGCCGCCATTACCCTCGTCGTGTGCCTGCAACTCCGGTTGTGGCCCCCCCGCCCGTCCCTGTCGCACCTCCTCCTCCGCCTTTGGTTGAGGAAGCACCTCGTCGGATCCTTGTGCAAGGGGTACAGTACGGTGCCCACCATGGATGGGAGATGGCGGTGGAGGCGAATGGCGGCGGCGGAGAAGGTGGAGGTGGCGGTGCAATTGGTGGCGCTCCACGGCGGCGGTTGGCGACGTCGGCGCCCCCACAGCGACGCCCCCACGGCGACGCCCCACGGCTTCCCCATGGCGGCGTCGGCGGTTTCCCCACGGCGGTGTCGGCGGCGGCGAACTGGCGGCGGTCGGCGGCGGTTGGCGGCGAAATGGCGGCGGTGAGCAGCGGCGAAAACGGCGGCGGCGGCGAAATCGTGGGGGCGGTTAGGGTTAACCCTAATCCCCCCCCCCCGACGGCTCCCCCTGCTTTTTTTGCTGCGGGCCGAATGGGCCGGCCCACCGCCCCCCCCACTTGCCTGCCGGCCTAGTGCCACACGGTGGTGGGCCGAATCCTTTAGATTTCGGCCCACCACCCAATTTATTGTTTAAATTTAGTTTTTATTTTTATTTTCAGCAGCAATTACCCTTTAGTCCCTATATTTTATGTAATTTAGTCGAAACAGTTCATCAGTTGTATAAACAATTATGTAATGATCCTATAGACCACTGATGTTATGTGTTTATTAACATAGGTGTTTATTTAAATACCCTGTTTCACTAAATTTATTTGTTGTCTTAATAACATGCCTTTTGCATATTATTTCAAGACACGCTCTACTTTCTCGCTTTATTAATTTACAAAATTCTATAAATTTTGTATTTTGATTTAGCAAATTCCATTAATTATGTCCAACATAATTAATGGAGGATTTAATGCATGTTCCACTTCATACTTTGACTTGGAAATTAATTACATGTCGATGGAGTCCTATACTTTGGTCATATCGACCATAACTTAGGCAGCGAGTATCTCGCCCATCATAAAGTGGTCTACATTTTGAGATGATTACCTGATGGAGTCCTAGAAATTGGCCGCACTGGTCATAACTTAGGCAGCGAGCACCTCGCCCATCTCACAGAGGTCTACATCTCACGATGATTACCCACATGTGTTCTTTTCCAAGAATATGTTTTGAGAAATGAGATTGTTTGAAATTTGGTTGAACACAAGGTAGTGGAGTCCTAAACAATGGCTGCGGTATATTCATCAGAATATATTTGCCTGGAGACCGTGTTTTAGGCAGCAAGTATACCTTGCCCACTATTAAGAGATCTACTCCACTGTTTAATTACTTGGAGATTAGCCACATTGTGCCACCTAATTTCGAATTCTAACTCAAAATTGTCAGGTCCATAACCTACATCTTTCGAAACATTACAGAATATGAAGTTTTACATTTCGCATTGAGATTTCAACCTTAATATCATGTTTTTATTAATTTACCTCTGTAAATTGATAATGTTAACCATGATTGTAGGGACATGGCAACAAAAGAGTTCGACGAACTCGCCCTCGATGGGACTAACTATCCCATCTGGGCTTCTGATATCAAAATCAATTTTGCCTCTCGGGGGATTCTAAATACAATTGAGGAACCTAATGATGGGGATCCAGCAATTGAGCCCAGGAAGCTCAATATAGCCCTTTTTCTTTTGAGACTCTACATTCACAAGGATCTCAAACATGAATACATGTTAGAGACGAGCCCTCTCAACCTTTGGAAAGCTCTAAAAGAGTGTTATGATCAGCAAAAGGAACTCATTTAGCCTGAGGCTAATTATAAGTGGGTTCATTTACGCCTACAGGATTTTAAAACTGTGGCAGGATACAACCATGTTGTTCATAACATTTGTTCCAGGTTGAAGTTTTGCGAACAAGAGCCAACGAAGGCAGAAAAGATAGAGAAAACTCTATCAACTATGCTTCCGGAGGACACGATACTGACTCAACAGTATCGCGCTAACAATTTCCAGAAACATTCTCTGCTTATACATACATTGACTCAGGCAGAAAGACACCATGAGCTTTCTTTAAAGAATGCCCAACAGCGCCCACCGGGCTCTGCTCCACTGCCTGAGGTGCACTTCAATGTACAGAATAATGCTGAGAATAAGAAAGGATTCAAGGGAAATTCTTCGAATAATCCTAAGAATCTGACTGGAAAGCGCAAACGCAACAACAACAGGCGCAAATTCAAGGGTCGAAAGAAAGGAAAAGGGAAGGGTAAGGCACCACAACCTCGTAGCAATGGCAACAAGCATTGCAACAGGTGTGGATCTGACACTCATGTCGCTAAAGACTGCCGCATCCCGAAACATCTCGTCCTCTTGTACCAAAAATCCCTCAAGGACAAAAAAATCTTCTGAGAACCCAAGATTTGAAGCCCACTTCAATCTTACACATGAAGAGCGCCCTGAGGTTGCAAGTTCTCACCAGGCTCCTGCTGAACCAGAGAGCAACCTCAATGTTCTCCCAGAAGATGTCGCTCCACTCTCTACGATGGACGGTATGTTCATCGAATACTGCTCAACGGACCAACTTGGAGATTTGCAATGATCTCGGTGCGTCCTACTTGGAGATGAAGCTGCCCTTATCTCAGTGTGCTTGAAACAGTATATTGATATCCTATAAGTTTGCCAAATAATATTGGTTGTAATAAGTAGATAAGTACGAACTCCCTTGTATTGTAAGGTTGTATGGCTTGCTAGTCATTAGAGTATGTACTATTAACATATGTATTTGATGTTTTAATTATTGTATGTATGTATATATATTGGATAAAGAATTCTTAATCATGCAATTCTTCTTTCATTATAGATGTCTAAGGATATCGCTCCGATTGTAGAGGAATTATGTCTTGTGGACAGTGGTACCACAAACTCTATACTTAGGGAGATCAAATACTTTCAAACTCTCAAAAAGAGAGAAGGCAAAGTTTTGACTATCGCTGGGCGCGATACTGTGATAGTTGGCTCAGGAAGAGCAAATATTACACTCCCAATGGGTACACAAATTACAATCGAGGATGCTTTATTTTATCCTGATTCAACCCGTACCCTATTAAGTTATAGAGATATCCGTCAAAATGGGTTCCATATTGAAACCCATATGGATAATCGAGAAGAATTTCTTCTCTTAACCAAACAAAACGGATATGGCAAACGCATTTGCGAGAAAATTCCATCTCTCACATCGGGATTGTACTATACATACATTAAGCCCATTGCACATGTTGCATACAAAGTAATTTTTCAAAATGTTGATGCATTCCACACTTGTCATGATCGACTTGGGCACCCTGGTATCGGGATGATGAGAAAAATTATTGGCAACTCTATTGATCATCATTTGATCACTGACAAATTTCCCAAATCCTCTGATTTCGTATGCACTGCATGTGCTACTGGGAAACTGATTTTGAAACCATCTTATCTCAAAATCAGAGCCGAACCACTTAAATTCCTTGAACGCATTCAAGGAGATATCTGTGGCCCTATTGTGCCAATATCTGGACCGTTCAGGTACTTTATGGTTTTGATTGACGCATCTACTAGATGGTCTCATGTGTGTCTTCTATCGACACGAAACCATGCCTTTGCCAAATTGATGTCACAAATTATAAGGCTGAAGGTAAATTACCCTGAACATAGGATTCAATCAATCCGTATGGACAACGCTGCCGAATTTACATCTCATGCTTTCGATGATTATTGTATGGCATTGGGAATTCAGGTTCAGCACTCTGTTCCATATGTCCACACACAAAATGGTTTGGCTGAATCATTGATCAAAAGAATTAAGCTTATTGCTCGACCATTATTGATGAATTGCAAATTACCTTCGTCGTGTTGGGGTCATGCAGTTCTGCACGCTGCTGACCTTGTCCAACTACGACCAACTGCATATCATGAAACTTCTCCAATGTAGTTAGTACGTGGAAATCCTCCAAGTATTTCCCATTTGCGTAAGTTCGGTTGTGCTGTATACATACCGATTTCACCACCACAGCGTACCGCTATGGGCCCACACAGGAAAGTGGGGATCTATGTGGGATTCAAATCTCCGTCGATCATAAAGTATTTAGAACCCTTAACAGGTGATCTATTTACTGCCCGGTTCGCTGACTCTATCTTTGATGAGGAACATTTCCCGGCATTACGGGGAGACTTCAAGTACCAGAAAGAATGCTAGGAAATTGATTGGGATGCCCAGGGTATTCCAGCCTCAGACCCACGTACTACTGAAGCTGAACTTCAAGTTCAGAAAATTATACATTTGCAAAGACTTGCAAATAACCTGCCAGATGCATTTACCAATTATAAAGGTGTGACCAAATCTTTCATTCCCGCTCAGAATGCGCCAGAAAGAGTGGAGGTACCAAATAAAACCACTCAACTTCCACTCACTAAAAAGAGAGGAAGAAGTATGGCCACTCAGCGAGAAACAATTGCTAATAAGCAAAGGAAGACGGTAAATGCAAACCAACCTTTAGTTGGTACACACCAAATTAATACTATATATCAAGCAGATCGTGATAGTCTGCAACCTAGCTCAGTGGTGCACAATGTTGAGACTAGGAATTTGGAAGACCATAGACACATTGTTTCGGGAGATCACAATGAGTCTATAAGGGTTGATGAAATTGCCATCAATTACTCTGAAACTGGAGAATCTTTTGATAGAAGAGCTACAATTGTCGACACTAATTTTTCTGAACAAATTGCTGAGTGCCTCCAAGTTGATCCAGAACCTAGGTCTATAAAAGAGTGCCAAAAGCGCTCTGACTGGAACAAATGGAAGGACTCAATTGACGCAGAATTAGCCTCGCTTTACAAAAGAGATGTATTCTCGGCTGTAATGCCTACTCCTCGTGGTATCTTTCCTGTGGGATACAAATGGGTTTTCGTTCGGAAACGGAACGAAAACAACGAGGTGGTGAGATATAAAGCAAGGTTTGTAGCACAAGGTTTTACGCAAAAACCTGGCGTTGATTTCAACGAAACTTACTCTCCAGTTATGAGTGGTATAACTTTCCGATATTTAATATCATTGGCAGTACAAAATCGTCTATTTATGCAATTGATGGACGTAGTGACAGCATATCTTTATGGGTCACTTGATTCTGATATTTACATGAAGGTTCCTGATGGAATCGACATCCCGAATCAGAAGGTAAATCGTAACATGTATTGTGTTAAGTTGCAGAAGTCACTTTATGGCTTAAAACAATCGGGCAGGATGTGGTACAACCGATTAAGTGAATTCCTTTCGCTAAAGGAATACACTAAAAATGATGATTGCCCGTGCGTCTTTATCAAAAATTCCCCCACAGGATTTTGTATTATCTCGGTATATGTCGATCTCAACATCATTGGCAATACACAAGATATTAATGAAGCACGTCATCATTTAAAGACGGAATTTGAAATGAAGGATTTGGGTCAAACCAAATTTTGCTTAGGTCTACAACTTGAGCATTTACCTTCTGGAATCCTTGTGCACCAAAGTGCATATACCCAGAAAATTTTGGAGAAATTTAATATGGACAAGTCATATCCTTCCAAAACCCCTATGGTGGTTCGATCTCTAGACGTGGAGAAAGATCCATTTAGACCAAAAGAAGATGGAGAGGATGTACTTGGTCCTGATTTTCCATATCTTAGTGCTATTGGCGCACTTATGTACCTTACAAATAGTACGAGGCCAGATATTGCTTTCTCGGTAAATCTGTTAGCAAGATATAGTGCTGCTCCTACCAAACGCCATTGGACTGGAGTTAAGAATATCTTTCGATATCTTAATGGCACAAGAGATCTTGGACTTTTCTTTAAAAAGAACCAGGATTCGACTTTAATTGGGTATACTGATGCTGGCTATCTATCTGATCCCCACAACGCCAGATCACAAACAGGATTCGTATTTTTACAGGGTGGAACTGCTATTTCATGGAAGTCTTCTAAACAGACTCTGGTAGCCACTTCCACAAATCATTCTGAAATAATTGCATTATATGAGGCATCACGTGAATGTGTATGGCTTCGCAGAATGGTTAACCACATACTAACATCTTGTGGTATTGGTTCATTGGAATCACCTACCATTATCTATGAAGATAATGCCGCTTGTGTTATTCAGATGGAAACTGGTTATATTAAGAGCAACATCACTAAGCATATTGCTCCTAAATTATTTTATCCTCATGAGCTTCAGCAACATGGAGAGATAAACATCTTGCAAACTAAGTCATGTGATAATCTTGCTGATTTATTCACAAAATCTCTACCATACTCCACATTCTTTAAATGTGTCGAAGGAATTGGTATGAGATGACTTAAAAATTTGCAGGATTCAGGGGGAGTATCTTTCTCTAGAAAATAACCTATTTTTGTCATATTATACTCTTTTTCCTTTGTATGAGTTTTACCCTTTAGGTTTTCTCATCCAAAGTTTTTAACGAGGTAATATCAACATAAGCTTATATGTCCTGTCATTTGGCTTTTCCCCACTGGGGTTTTTACTAAATGATAACTGTAGACATTATACTATTTTGGATCAAACTATGAGCTTTACTCATAGATCTAAAATAGTCAATAATATATATCACGGTTCTCTCCTTATTTTTCCCACTGGGTTTTCGAGGAGTTTTACGTGATGTATTTAACTATAATTATTTCTAAGATTATCTTTACAGATATCTGGAACACTAAATGAGCAATGATCAAAGCTGGATTCGATCAAGGGGGAGTGTTATGAAATATTTGGGTGATCTCATCCATCTATATGGATAGAGCAGCAATAAATCTGGGACACGATGGTTGGTTGTGCCCCACACCTCTTCTCGCCTCACGGCGATTCTAACAACGGACGAGATGGTTCCCAAACCATCGCGTCTTCTGTTGACCATTGTTATCAATAAAGGATCGCTCATTTATTCTCTACATTCTTGTGTGCAATTCTCTCTCTCACTCAATCTCTCTCGCTCAATCAATTCTATTCACAACAGTTTAAGTCTTTGGTTGTATAAAGATTACAAATAGGAATAACTTATTTGGAAATACTCAAATGTGAAATATATCTAACTCTTGTGGATGGAGGGAGTAATTTTTTCAGCAGAATCTTAATTCAAAATTTATATTTTTATTCTTGTATATTTAACTTGTAGTTACACTCGATTATAATGCATTTGCACTTAGTTATATAGAAAAAATTGATTTTTTTTGCGGGGAAGAAAAAAATGATTTTAGAACTGTTTATTATCTATATTTGTGATTCTTTTACATGTTTGCAAAATCGGTTTTGCTAAAAAACTGTTGACAGTTTTTTGTTTGGAAAACTTTCGATTTTCTAGCCATTGGATGCGCTCTAGGATTCGTGCAACATATACGGCCAGAATTAAAAAAAAGTTCGCATGGGCAAGGCAGTCATCGAACATGATGCACACGTTAAGCTAAGCCATGCACCTTCTTATTAGCAATAACTCTTTTTTATTATATATCACTTACACCCTAGTTATATATCACTTACATCTTAGTTATAGAGTAGTTACATAACACTTACACCCTAGTTACATAGCACTTACACCCTAATTACAGAGTAGTTACATGATAGTTATAGGGTAGTTACATTGTATAAAATTATGATTTGCAATTTTTTTAGGAGCGCATATTACTTTTGAATTTGAAAGTTTTTTTCCCTTCTACATGTAGGCCAATTTCTTGTTGTTCAATCAGCTTGGACACTAAAATTCATGGTTTGTACTAGTGTGGATTGTTCCCCTATAACCATTGATGACAAATCCTGTAGTCAAAAAATTTGAAAGTTTTGGACCTCAAAAACTGTCGACAACTCCCTAGCTAGTCCCTTGCAAAATTTTCGTCTGTCGAAAAAATCAATAGATGCTCCCATCGACCTATTGGAGCTAGATCGAATCGATAGAATCTGGTAAGCTTCAGCAAGATGCGATGAAATTTATGAATTTCGTGTGGATTTCGTTTCGATGTTCAAATTGTAAAACCTTCATACTGGCTGCTATTCACCTCTTTACTGCACAATCAATTCAGTTCCAGCAATAGTACCTCACACTGCTAGTAGTTTATTACGATTTCAGAATGGTACTAATTTACAGGGTAAAACTGGTGAAAATCTGCTAAGCCACAATGCTGACAATAAACAAGATCAAGCCATGAAAGGAGGGAGTAAACAGAGCTGACTCCACACAAGCCCTGTCTCACGACCATTATTAAACTTAAATGGAAAACCTCAAACTTCTCATCCATTTTTTGCTTTCATTTTTGGTTTCTTGTATGCACTGAAACTGCAAGAGAGAGAGAGAGAGAGATAGATCATCATCATCTCTACTCATCCATCCTCATGACGCAGCGGAGACTCTCCCCCTTGAGCATGAGATCGAACGCCGTGTTGATCTCCGAGAACGGCACGCTGTGCGTGATGAACTTCTCCAGCTCCAGCTCCTTCAGACATCAAACACCAGAAATCATTAGCATAAAATAGTGATCAATCAGTGGCTCATTGGAATCACTGACCATAGATTTCTGAACAATGCACATTCAGGTTGCAAATCTGATTCTGTTCTGCAATTATTTTTACCTTCTTCATGTACAGCTCGACGACGTTGGGCAGGTCGGTGCGCGGCTTGTAGTTACCGAAGAACGTCCCCTTGAGCGTCTTCTCGTTGAGGAAGTTCATCGGGTGGGTCTTGAACACATCATCCTTGGTCGGCACGCCGACCAGCACCGCAACGCCCCATCCCTGGATTCAGGTTTCAGATTGCCACTCTTAGTTTTCAGGATACAGTTTACAGCAGAACTGGAGGCATTGCTGAAATGATCATCTTCAATTTGTTACTATCATGTTTCATGTTTGTAAGAAAGAGACTGACATCATGGACACATTCGAAGCAGGATATCATGGCGTTGATGTTGCCCGTGCATTCAACGGCCCTGTCGAGTCCACCGTTGGTCATCTCAATCAGCACCTGAGATCACCATTGCAGAGTTGATGTTTAAGTATGTACACTCCATGTCATGAACAGTGTGTGATAATAAGAGAAATTAGTGAGGCAATGTGATGTACCTCGTGCACTGGCTTGCTGTGGTCCTTGGGGTTTACGAAGTCAGTGCAGCCAAACTTCTTAGCTGAAGAGATGAAAACAAGTTGCAGAGTTCAGTGTTCAATCCAGAACATATACCAAACATGTAATTTTCACTCAAAGATGATAAAAGATTGTACCTTGTTCGAATTTCGCAGGGTTCAGGTCCACACCAATGATCCTCGATGCTCCAGACAGCCTGGCACCTTCCATAGCCTATAATCATGTAATTTTACAAACATTCATCAGTTTGAGTTTCAAGATCTCAACAATCTGCAAATCAAATGGAAATGATATATCTTTGTGCGTGTCACTTACAGCAAGACCAACAGCTCCAAGACCGAAAATAGCCACGGTCTGGCCCTTTTTCGGTTTCGCGACATTCACTGTTGCACCAAAACCTGCAAGAACAGCAAAATCCCATCAACTTAATGCATCAAAAAAAAAAAGACCTTTCAAATTTCACTGTGAAAACTACTACTATCATAATCATGAAGCCATCCATCATCTTACCGGTAGAGAAACCGCAGCTGAGAATGCAGACCTTGTCGAGAGGCGCCTCCGGGTTGATCTTCGCGAGGCAGCCGACATGGATGACGGTGTACTCGCTGAAGGTGGATGTGCCAACAAAGTGGAAGATGGGCTTCCCCTTGATGGTGAATCGGGACTTGCCGTCGCCGATCATGACGCCGCGGTCGACGTTGATCCTGAGGAGGTCACACATGTTGCTCTCCTCCGATTTGCAGTGATCACACTCCTTGCACTCGCCGGTGAACACCGGGAGGACATGGTCGCCCGGCGCGAGTTCGGTCACACCCTCTCCCACACTCTCCACAATGCTGTGAGCAAAAAAATTGTTTTGTTAGATCAATTTGATTGTTAGGATTACACATATATCTTCCATGGAAATGGAAAAAAAAAAGGGGTCCATTTGAGCAGAGAAGTGATAAGTAAGTCAAGTTTAAACAGTTCATAAGATGGATAATGATTCAGTGTGTCTTTTTCCTTTGAGTACCTCAAAACATCAAAGGAGAGAAAGTAATAAAGCACTAGCATAGAGGAGCACATGAAGAAAAGTATATTATCCTAGGAATCCAATTGTCGTTGTATATGTCATCAATGACGCTGTTCTTTGATTCTTCATATGATTTTATACCAAACCAGTAAAATATCATGCACAATTGGACACTTGGTAGATTTCTTTACTGAACTTAATGAAAATGCCACTGACTAATCAGGACTCCCCAACGTGCACACTAACTATAGTTAGTAACCGAATACCATAAACCAAACAACCTATGACGTACAAGTACACACTAAATTCCACTAAACACCAAAAGCCATTTTAAAACAAAAAAAAAACAATACAAGAACAGAATAGACTGAACCACTAAACAGTGTAGTAGAAGAACAAGAATTGGACAGGGTTGGTTCAGATTACACATACCCTCCAGCTTCATGGCCCAAGATCCTAGGGAAAACAGGTGTTTGCCCCTGCGAAGATCAAAGCAGAAACCACACACACACCAAGTTAGTTAGTCACTGATCATTCTTGCAAGCTTGAGAAGGTGAGAAAGCTCAGCCATGGCAGATGCTGATTAATTACCTTGGCCTCCCAGAAGTAGACGTCGGTGTGGCAGAGGGCGGTGTAGAGGATCTTGACGCGGACCTCCATGGCCTGCGGCGGCGCAACCTCCACCTCCTCGATCGACAGCGGCTTCCCGGCCTCCCATGCCACCGCCGCTGCAAAAACCCCAAAACCCGATCTAATCAGCTTCTCCTCCCCACAAAACATCAAACTAATTTTCTCACGAACCGCTCCAAGAACAGCAAGAACGGACCTTTGCACTTGATCACCTTCCCGGCTGTCGCCATTAATCCCCCTCTTTTTCAAAGAACAAGAAACCACTCCGAAGAGATCGAAAGCTCAGGTTTTCTTTTTTCTTGAATCACTCGCAGTTCGTTGCTTGGAATTCTGGTGAGGAGACGAGAGGGGAGGAGGGGGTGTATATATAGGGATCAGAGAGTGGTAGGAGTCTCGCGGGCAAGTACGCCTGAAGACAAGCAAGTGGAGGAGGGGGGAAAGAGGAGGAGGCGTCATCTGAATATTTTTTGCTTGGAAGAAGAGGAAGGCTCTGCGTCTGCTGCATGCTGCTGCTGCTTGCCTCCGCCGGTTTTCGAGCTTCGGTGGTTTTCCGGTTTCCGGCGGATGATGATGCATTGCAGAGTGAAGACAAGGAGGATGGATGCCTTTTCTTCTCTCCAATAGTAATTCTCCGAATTTTCAGTAAGGTTTAGTGCTAAGATATGCCTAATCAACAGTCAAATCGGCAGTAATTAACGTTGATATGCGGTCATATCTGTCCAACTATGAATTAATCTAGATTATTTAGAAAAGCATAATGCATTGACTTTTTTTTTCTTGTGATGAGGAATAATACTTCCTCCATCCACAAAAGTTAGACATATTTCATATTTTAGTTTTTTCCACATAAGTTGTTCCTATTTATAGACTTTATGCATTTAAAACTTAAATGAAGAGATAAATTAAATATTTGATGAGAATCCAAGGAGTAATTTAAATACTCATTGATTGCATGTTTACATTTAGTCCTTGATTTTGAAATATCCAAGATAATTTAATTTCTCCTTGATCTTGGTGATAAAAATAATGTGCAACTTTTGTGGATTGAGATATTACCTTTTTTTCTAAGATATCTGTTGGTTTATAATGATTATCTATGTGTTTATAATTTATATAGTAAATTTTAGAAAACCACATGATCTATAGTTAAATTTACAGAAAATCACATGTACTAAGACATGTTGCACACAAACACATGTTTTATGGTCTCAATGTTTTATAAACCCCATCTTTATTAAAATCTTGATGAATTTCAGCATATCTCAAACAATTTTTTTAAAAGTGGTGAAGAATTAAGCTATCAACTTTAGTAAAAAACTTAATAATTATTTTTTATACAAACTATATCTTAGATTTTTGAGTAAATTCACGCATAAAACCCACAATAATGGGATTTTATGAAACTTTAAAACCGTAATAACTAGGGTTAAATGTCACGTGTCATAATAACTATGGTTTTCTACAGTTTTTTTTTTAATTTAAACCTATCGCATTTATGAGCACATCCTAAAAACTGGGTTGACATATCTTGAGATTAATGAAGCCACCATAGCCGCCTTGCTGTCAACTGGTACGTCTTGCCAAGTCTAGAGTTTGAATCCGGGTGGGCAAGTTCCCTTAGAGTAAATGTGGTGGTTTATTTTAGCTTTTATTTTAGTAATAATGATAAATAAATAGAAGATGAATTGCTTTTTATGTTTATTCTTTGCTTATGTTTTCAATATTTGGTATTATAATTTTTTGATTGGCACAAAATAGGGTATCCTACATACTCTCTTCATTTATTAATATTTGAGGTTTAGGACAAAATTTAATTAAACTTTTAAAACTTCCTTATAATCTATATTTATCAAATGTTTAATTCAAAAACAAACACTTATTGTACGTGCAAAGTTGTCCAAAAAAGTAATGCTACTATCATAATATCACAAACTAGATTTTATAAATTTTTATAATATAAAATGATGGTAAAATTTCTAAAATGTCTGTCCGAATCTTATCTTATAACATTAAATATTTATGATTACAGGGAATATAAGTTTTGTTATCTTTGCATGGCACTAAACTTATGTACAAAATTAAGTGTTTTCACTGTTAGAAAAGTTTTCTACCTATATATATTTAAAATATACATTATCTTTGGTATGGTCAAACCCTACACGATTTTAAATTTGAGCTGTAGGCTCCCATTGAATGGTACAAGGATCTCAATTTATACTTATATTCTTAGCATTTTTTTGCAATCTAGAAACTTTCCACCAGATCATTGTCAAATTTTTCATGCAACTATACTTTATTCTACCAACTTATAAAAACAATTGCTCGCACACGCAAGCTTAACCCTGAAAATTATCGTTTTCTATCTCCTCAAAATGATGATATTTCTCATATAATCAATATATAGACTGTCGTTTTCTTTCGCACTACCTAAAATTGAAAATACATACTATTTCCTAATTTCAATGAGGTTAAAATATTTGGTATACCAGAGAAGAAAAACAAATGTATAAAAAATATTCAAAAGATCAAATTCTACATCAATCCTACCATTATAATCCAGGTCCGGCCAATTGTTCACAGTACGCATATTCTGGATGCCCTGCTAGCTCACTGTTCTTCCTACTGATATTTTTATTTTGTCTGAAAACTCAAACTGACGCAAACTCAGTAACAGTATATTCCTCCTTTTCTGAATCTTCCAAAGCCCCACTTGCAGAAGCACCAGTAGCTAGCTAGACCGACACGTCATCGGCTGTGACCCCCCCATAGGCGTCAACGGGGGTGACGTGGCGATGTGGCGTTGACTTCTCGCGAGTCCAAAACCGGGGCAGCGCCAGCGCGGACGCCGCGGCGCCGGAGGAAAGCTGAAAATATCAAAACAACAGCGGCCGCGCCAATGTATATACGCCTTGTCGCTTTCTGCCCGCGAATCTGGACCTGACACATGGCGTATAAACCTCTTGTGCAGTTGTACTGAGTTCGTTGAATTATTATTATTTTTTACATATTTTTTATTTTGGGAAATAAAACCTCAAGAAACTCATTTTTAAATCTAATGGCCTCTTTTTTTCGCTTATACTTATACTTATCAGTTAAAATTTGAATTTTCAACCTTAACATTTGGAGCTGATTTTAAGTTTTTTCATCAAAGTTTATTTTTCAGCATTTGCTTTTAGATCGTTAATAACACGTATGTAAAAGTTTTATTTACAAATTACTTTTCACTTGTAAATATGCCGTTTCGCTAAACGATGGCTCCGTAAACCTATTAGTCACTCCATCCCGTCTAGCATGGTTAAACAACAAAACCCTTGTTAAGTTTGGTTGGCGTGACGAAATAACATTACCCCGCTAAAAATGTTTAAATTTGAAAATAAGTTTATAGATAGAATGTTTTTAAAATTAAAAACAAAAGATGTTTAAAAAAAAAAAAGAATCACGTCCATTGGGTTCTCTGCACCTGCTACCTCTGGGCTTTTGGCGGCTGTAGCATGTGGGAAGGGTTTGATGCTTTTGATGGGTTTAGGTGCCAAACCGTGCAATTAGCCACGGTTTGGAGGATAACCATGAGCGGCTAATCACTTGATTAACTAGCAAAGTTTCTCTCGCTTAATTAGTTTAATGCAAACACTAACTGACTAATTAACCAACAAAGCAGAGCAAGCTAGCTAGGTTCGTCTCGTGCTTGCAGTTGCAGTTGCAGGGTTGCAAAAACCATGCAATCCTGGTGCAGGAATTTGCAATCCGTATGGCGCCCTGCCTTGGGATATGATCATGCTGCATCTGGTAGTAACATGCATAGGATTAGTTGACCTGAAAAATAATGTCAAATTGGCTGGCTGGATTTGGACTCTTGCCCACTGATCACTGCACAAAAAATATGTGTATTGATTAGTTGGTTCATGCAGAGCCGCCCATCAGTCACAATTGGATTTGAATTCTGTACTTTTAGAGTTTAATGAGCTTGCATGGATGTGGATTCGAATTTTGCATGGAGATCATCGTACTAACATTTTGGTGGGCATGTGCCAAATGGATTAACAGAATACAACGGGATGGTGTGACGTACAGATTGGTCCTTCTTTTCAATGTTGGAAGCTACTCCCTCCGGTTCTATATTAATTGACGTTTTGGACAGAATCTCACTTACCAAGAAGTGATTAATTAGGTTGCCTATTTCCTGTTTTACCCCTATTAAAAACTTTAGTGTAGCTCTTTTATCAAAAACTCTCATGCGACCTGTGTGGCTATGGCCTTTAGTTTCAAAGTTGGAGTTAATGCGTCGTTGCTTGGGACGTTGGGAGCCTGCTATAGTTGATGAGCTACTGAAGACAAGCGCTACATGCATGCAAGGGTATAGCAGTCCAAAGTGACAATCAAATACCAAAACGTCAATAATTTGCATCCAAAAAACACAACCCTCAAACGTCAATATATTTGATACCGGAGGGAGTATATATACATATCTTACTACATAATGAATTTTTTCTACTCCTTTTATTCCATAATATAAAGCATTGCTAGTACATCTTCATTCCGGCCACGAGTTCCTCCGCTAGCTTAGGCCCTCAAGATCTTTAATTTTATTAAGTGCACGTATTATATTTATTAGGGTAATCCAAACTAGAGAGTTATAATAATTAGTTTTTGGTTTTTGGGTTAAAAGTGGTTGTGTCTTATATTTTGGAATGGAGGGAATGGAGGGAGTAATTTGTATGGCCAATATTTTCTTCATCGTTCAGACATGTTATTTTATTAAGTTCACCAAATTTAGTTTTGTAGTCGTTGTGCTTTGTTGTTTGCTTCATAACAGAAGCAGTGGTATTATTCTATTCAAAATAAAAAGAAAGAAATATCTCCGGCATAGAAACATCGTTTTAGAGTAATTTCTAACATATTTTCTTTATCAACTCAATATTGATATAGATTAGGGCCCTTTTCCAACTGTTTTACTTCATGAAGGGCAACGGGCGTGTGACAAATTGGACTTTAACTGGTATGTAGTTTATTTATATGTAAAGGAAAAGGTGGGCACCACAATTCACAAAGACAGTAAATTGCACCAACGGTTCTTAAATTTGTAAGTAGATTTCACCTAGACCTATGAACTTCCAAAGCATGCATCGAGATTTTTAAACTTATTTTATTGTATCATCCTTATCCAAAGTCTGGTTTGACCATGGTCTTACGTGGCATGCCATGTGGATGATGGCATGAAATTTTTTTTCTTTTTCTCCTTTTTTTCCCCTCTGCTTCCACCGTACCCATCGGTGCAAGCTTTTGCCGACACCCATCTTCTCTGGTCGCGACCTCCTCCGTTGGCTCAGGCCCTCTACTCCTCCCAGCTCAAATCCCATCAGAGCAAACCACAACCGGTCTGAGGTCATCGTTGCCCCCAGACTTAATGCTGATTTGTTCGCCAGAACCAGAAGTATAAATTGTTGTGGATAGGGATCTAGTAAAAACATCTTTTGAGGAATGGGCCAGACCCGGCCATTTCTCAAGAACAATAGCTAAGGGCTCTGATATTCGCTCTGCTGTTGGGTCTACCCCGCCACCAGCGCCTCTGCCCCCGATTACTAGCGTTGTCGCTCTCACTGCCTCCCTCTCTCTCTCTCCACCTGCCTTTGGTGTTGCGGCTGCCTGTACTTTGGTGTTGCGGCTGCCTGTACCGTCACCGCTAGTGCATCTAGTGGTGGAGGAAGAAGTGAAGAAGAATGGTAGAAAAAAAGGTGGAAAAGGAGGAATTTGGCCATGTCATCATCCATGTGGCATGTTAGTCAAGCCTATGAGTAAATGGGACTTTGGACCAGGATGATACAATAAACCATGTGTTAGGGATCTTGATGCGTGTTTTACAAGTTTGTGGATTTAGGTGAAACTTACTTTTATAAGTTTAAGAACCGCCGGTAGAATTTACTCGTTTACAAATATCAACATGATCTCTGGAGTCTGTACATGTGTGATGAATGGAATTGGAATTGACACATTAAAATATCAAACTAGAAAAAAAATTAAAGCGAAACTTGCAAGCTAGAATGAAAAGTTAGCGCACGAGAATAAGTGATTTAGGCCTCTCAACAATGTATTAAATAGAGATATGGACTATGGATATTGGTATATTTAGAAAGTTGCTAATTACCACATTATAAAAACATTGATTTTCACAAGAATAAAAAAAATACAGAAACAATCGATATATCAATAAAATTGTTCCACTTTCTATATTTTGTTTACTATTTCTATTTTCACCGATTACCATTTTCATATAGCTTGGTTAATAAAATCAGAAGCGAGTGTCGGTCGGTCAGGAATTTCCCGACCGTTTTCACCCCTTTAGATATCAGCGTCTAGTGTATCCTCGGAAGATCTTTTATCCTTTTGGTTTTCTTCTTTTAAGTCATTTTTCCTTCTTTGCTCGGCTTTGTAAATAAACTTCTTTATTAATAAACTCTTAAACTTAGGTCTTGCCCCATTGTTCGTTCTCTTTCAATACTAGTAGTGTAGTGGCCACTATGATATTATGTGACCTTATTATGGTGACTAGTAAGTCAGTGATCCATACTGCTTACAAGATGTAATCTGTCTACTGGTAGAACTGGTAACATGAAGCCAAAACACTTGTGTTAGAAAGGTCTCTGATAGCGACGCCGTAGATCCAACTAGCAACATATATAATTTGACAAGTGGTGCAATTTGCAATCTAATATATTTTGTTGGCTTCACTTTCCAAAAGGCATCCATTTAACTTTATCAGAAGGAGAAGTACTGTACATTGTTCAGACCTTATCCTCAAATTACTCCACCAAGCATGAATTCTCCATCTGATAGAAATCTAGAGTATAATTAGAGGTAGTTCTTTTCTTCTTTTTCACCTCCGAGAGAGGGCCCAACATAACTTGATATTAATGAAGCCAACATAAACATCTCGTTATCATATTTGAGATTGACGAATTCATCACAGACATCTCATTATTGACTTGTAGGTTAGTTCCGCCACAAGTAACTTAATCAATTGAGTTATACTCACTCTGCCAATTAAGGCTCAGTTCGTTTGTGCAGGTTCCCAACCCCTTCTCCTCGTTTTCCGCGCGCACGCTTTTTAAACCGCTGAACGGTACTTTTTTTTTTGTAAAAAGTTTAGTTTATATACGAAAGTTGCTTAAAAAATCATATTGATCTATTTTTAAAATTTTTTTTTTGCTAAAACTTAATTAATCACGCTCTAAATGCTGTTTCGTTTTGCGTGCTGGAGAGTGAGGCCCTCACTCCCGAACACAGCCTATGCAGTTCTAACTTGAATTCTATAGCAAATAAATTAAGTTGTTATTAAAATTTATAACTATATTCAGTAGTCATAGTTGAGTTTGTTTGTATGTACTACCAAAGTAGCGTGGCTAACACACAAGTTTAATCTCATTTAAAGCCGATACTGGGTTTATGGGGCAGCCTGTCTCTGCAAGTTGCATCCTGCAACCTGGCTACAAGAAATTAAGAACAGATTAGCCAACTAGATAGCTAGAGCTCACCAATTATGGAGCCCCAAAACCCAAAGATTCTGCACTTGTATGCTACCATGACAGGGAGTAGATGCATGCATCCTCTGAATTTCTGAGAGTGGGGAGCTCTGTGTATAATGCTGTGCTTGCATGTGCAGAGAGGATAGGATTTGTTGTGTTCTCTGTGATTACTTTGGGGATGATAGGATTTAATCATGCGCTAACCAGATTCCTTTCCTGTCGTTTTGACACACAGGAAGATGCCTCAAATGATGCCATTTTGGATGGTGTTCAGTCTGTGACACAACACAGGTCAACTTTTTATCTCTTATAATCCGTCCTGTTGATAAACATGTCTTCACCCAACTTAGGTGAATATTATGATCTGCAAAAATTCATACCAGAATGTAGATTGACAGATTGCACATTATGTTTCATAATTTAGTTATATATAGATTGCACATTACATTAGAGAGAGCAGATGCGCAATACAGAAAGGCGGCAAACAGTGTAGCGGTGGAGCCAGCATATATAGGCTCAAATTGATCGAGCCAAAGGCTATCCGCTATCGTAATTTGCGCAATTTCATATTTGTCTTGTAAATTTTCAGAAAATTCACAGTATATATAATTTGTGTCCACCCATGTTCTCCATGAACAAACCTGAAACCGCATTCCTGCAACCGTGGCTAGCTTATTGCTGTAGCATAGGTAGTTTTAGCCTCTTATTTTCTCCGTTTATACAGTCGCCGCCGCCGTCGATCGCCGGCGGCGACATCGATCTGGATGGCTAGTCCTCCATCCTGATGATGCAGCGGAGGCTCTCCCCACTGAGCATCAGGTCGAACGCCGTGTTGATCTCGGAGAAGGGCACGCTGTGCGTGATGAACTTCTCCAGCTCCAGCTCCTAATTAATTAACCAATCCATCAGGCAGAATTGTTATGATCAGTCCAAGATGATGACGCATTTTTGCAGGCATTGATCATCATCACTAATCTCGAGCTGGAAAAGGGTATGGATTAATTAATAATTTGGACCTTGTTCATGTACATCTCGACGACGCCGGGCAGGTCGGTGCGAGGCTTGTAGTTGCCGAAGAACGTGCCCCTGAGCGTCCTCTCGTTGAGGAAGTTGGTCGGGTGCGTCTTGAACGCCGCGTCCTTGCCGGCGACGCCCACCAGCACGGCCACTCCCCACCCCTGCATCGTCGTCGTCGTCGACGGCGACATCGTCGTGCAGAGGGTTCAGATCATTGACACAGCTGATCACTGAAAATATATATGATGGATGAGTGGATGAGACGGCGTGCGTACGTCGTGGACGCACTCGAAGGCGGAGATCATGGCGGCGGCGTTGCCGGTGCACTCCACGCTGCGGTCCACGCCGCCGTTGGTCATCTCGATGATCACCTGAAATAGTTATCGCGTCGGCCATAGGATTTAGCTCAACCAAAGGTACCACTCATCAGTTTCATATTACAAGTAGTTTTGATTTTTTTCTCAGTTAAACTTTTTAAAGTTTGATTAAGTTTATAGAAAAATTTTATCAACACATTTATAATATTAAATTAGTTTTATTAAAACTCACTTTTAATATATTTTAATAATATGCTTATTTTCTTAAAAATATTGCTATTTTTAATATAAATTTAATTAAACTTTTTTACTTAAAAAAAAGTTCAAACGACTTATATATAGGCATGGTTTAGTTCCTAACTTTTTCTTCAAACTTTCAACTTTTACATCAAATCAAAACTTTCCAACACACACAAACTTCCAACTTTTCCGTCATATCGTTCCAATTTCAACCAAATTTTCAATTTTAGCGTTAACTAAACACACCCATAATATGAAACAAAAGGATTACTACAATTTGAAGTCTTGTGTGAGAGCATGAAGAGAGTGTACCTGCTGAACGGGCTTGTCGTAATCTTTTGGGTTCACAAAGTCTGTGCACCCAAACTTCTTAGCTGCAAATGCAGAGGAAAAAAGAAACCCAATGTGACATTCTGATGCTGACCTTCCCTTTGTCTTAATTTTAGAAAAAAAAAAGGCATCTGAATTTGCGTGGATTTATCTTATATATTTTTGTCAATAAAAACAGTAGCAATATCCTTATGAGAAATTATGGAGATAGGGTTCTTGCAGCATACAGTTTAAATTCAGTAGAAAAATGACATTTTCCAGGTTCCAAAAAAGAGCCGTAGTTACCTAGTTCGAATTTGGCCGGGTTCAAATCGACGCCAATAATCCGTGAAGCACCAGAGATCCTTGCACCTTCCATGGCCTATACATGATCCCCTCACCAAATCAGAAATCTTCTTTCAAAAATACTACTCTGTTTGAGAAAAAAGATGATTAAGGGCTACTCGTACTCTGTCTGAGAAGAGCAGAAGTGACAGTCACTTACAGCAAGACCAACTGCACCCAGGCCGAATATGGCTACTGTGCACCCCTTCGGTGGCTTGGCGACGTTCACAGTCGCGCCAAATCCTACAGAAATGTACTATATTCTATAAATATAATAAAAAAGTTGATGGTCGGAGTTTCAAAAGTTTGAGCGAATTTTGCCTTAAACGTCATATATTTGTTATCGGAGAAGTACAATATTTCTCCCATAATTGTGGTGTATGTAGGTCACTAGGTTCAGGTTGTATTATATATATCCCTACTCTTACAATGGCAAAAGTTTTACCTTGAAAATAATTTTAATTATATCATAAACATATTTTTTCAGCAAATACAATATTTATAACCAAAGAAAGAAAGCACTCCCTCCAGTTCTTATAATGTTTAACCATTCTTCTTATTTAAAAATTAAGTATAAGTATCTAAAAGTATAAGTTAAGATTATTGTTTTTTAGATAAAACAATTCACAATAAAATGAATGTTATTTGTATACTTAGCTTTTTTTTTTAATAAAATGAATGATCAAACGTCACATCAAAAGCTAATAACGTCATACATTAAAAATCGGGAGGGAGTACAGTATTTCTCCATGATTGTTGTGTGTGTGGATGTTGTATGGATCATCCTACTTAAACCTCACCAATGAAAAAAGAAAAAAAACACAAAGTTTTAGCATACCGGTGGAGATGCCACAGCTGAGGACGCAGACCTTGTCGAGCGGCGCCGCTGGGTGGATCTTGGCGACGCAGCCGACATGGACGACGGTGTACTCGCTGAACGTGGAGGTGCCGAGGAAGTGGTACACCGGCTGCCCTCCCCTGGCGGTGAACCTGGTCTGGCCGTCGCCGATCATGGCGCCACGGTCGGTGTTGATGCGGAGGAGGTCGCACAGGTTGCTCTCCTCCGACAGGCAGTGCCGGCAGTCGCCGCACTCGCCGGTGAACACCGGCAGCACGTGGTCGCCGGGGGAAAGCTCCGTCACCCCCTCGCCCACACTCTCCACAATCCTATGCACACGTACAAACAAAATTATTTAGAGAAATTTTTCAGTACTTCGAGGTACCAAAATTTTTAGTACAAATTCGGTACCTCCTAGTATAAGAAATAAGATGTACCAAATTTTACATTGGAAAATATGGTACTTCTGGTACTTCCTTTAAGATTGTAAAAATCACTCAACTATTTAAGCCTGAATTTCATTGTACAGAATTACACGTCGATGAATTGCAAACTATTTTGCCAAGATGATACTACCTCCGTCCCAAATTAGTGGTCGTTTTGACTTTTCTCTTGCAATATTTGACCATTCGTCTTATTTAAAAAATTAGTGCAAATATAAAAGCGAATAAATCATACTTAAAGTACTTTTTGATAATAAAGCAAGTTACAAACAAAATAAATAATAATTCCATACTTTTTTAATAAGACAAACGATCAAAAGTTACAAACAAAAACTCAAAGCGACAAGTATTTTGGGACGGAGGTATTAATTGTTTGTGCCACTGAAGATTAATGGTTCTTGCTGAGGGTGTTCTTGGTTTGTAGTAGTTCTTACCCTCCAGCTTCGTGGCCGAAGATCCGAGGGAACACCGGAGTTTGCCCCTGACAAGAATCATTCAGTTTTCAGACTTATGTTCAACCAAGGACCAAAAAGATTAACAAAATTCAAGCTAGTAAACATCTGAATAACAAAAACTGTATATTTTGGGAATTGTTCACACTCTGCTTCACATCCAAACCAAGAGATGGTCAAAAAATCAAGCATAATTCAGACACTGGCAACACTGAACTTCAGTCTGTAGTTCTTGGCCATACACCAAAGTGAATATAATAGTGATGGAATTGGTTGGTTCAGAATACCTTGGCTTCCCAGAAGTAGACGTCGGTGTGGCAGAGCGCCGTGTAGAGGATCTTGAGGCGAACCTCCATGGCTTGCGGCGGCGCAACCTCCACCTCCTCGATTGACAGCGGCTTCCCGGCCTCCCAAGCCACCGCCGCTGCAAACCCAAATCCAACTCTCCATAAAAAAAAAATATTTCAGACCTCAAATCTGCATGACATATGAGTGTACATTTTTCTGTTTTTCCTCTGCAATCTATGCAGTTTAGTGTCCTGAAATTTGTGTCCGTGTTATGATAATGACCAAAAGCGGCATCAGTGCATTTCTGAGTTTATTTTCCCAGGAGAATTTCATCTTGGAAGAGTTCTGCAAACATGAAAAAACCAGTGTAAACCAAGACTCAGACCTTTGCACTTGATCACTTTCCCTGCAGTTGCCATGTTGTCCTTCCAAGATAACGCTCTTCTGTCTTCTCCAAGCTAAGATGATCTAGCTAGCTAAGTTAGCTATGTCACTTGAGTGCTAGCATGGGGATGGATCATAGTATATGTAGACAGATGAGGCGCCCTCACCATCGCCCACTTGGCCTATCAGCGAAATTAGCTGCCATTCTTACGCCTGAGATTGATTAGTACCCCTTGATAGTTGCCACAACTAATCAAGACCAGTGACATGACACTGCCCATCACCTCATTTCACAGGTCACTCCTTGGAAGTGTTCATGGGGTGACCTGTGGATACAGGGAATGTAGGCCTCACAAACCATATAATTCGTCCAAGTTTTGGTTTAGGTAGATTCAAGCTAAATTCCCCTTGTTAAACATGCTACTATTTTGTAAAGAGGCAAAGGATACGGATTTAATAAAAAAAAAAGCTCGAAAAACCATCAGGGCATGGAGGTGTATTCACTATTTAGGGCATGGAGGTGTATTCACTATTTTGCTGGAGAAATTTTATGATCCTTGAAAGGGTATGGAAGAGCTTCACTGTAACTTCTCAAAATGAGTGATTTTATTCTATTGTTCTTGAGAGGTACCAGGAGGCACCACTTCTTCTTCTTCTTCTTTTTTAACCAAAAGTTATACCTTGAAGGGTCACATGGGGCTTGAAAATGTATTTTCCTTGTGATAACATTCATAGTTTAGATATTTTAGAGGTGCTTATAATAATAACGAAATAATGTATTAGAGGTGCATTCATGATTAATGGTTGATATATCTCTTTAAGTGACGTCTCTCTCTCCGAGTCATGTCGAAATGCCACTACGGTCATGGCTAATTTTCACATGCTTTCTAGATCAGTATTAAAGTGGAATCATGTCGTTGGATATTTCCCAAGGGACGACCTACCTAGGAGAATACAGTTTACATGAAACAACTCAATTATTTTCTGATAGATCAAAGTCTGATTGCAACACACATCACTACAAATACGACTGACAACGTATGTGAGGCAAATTGAATGCCATATCTTCGCAAATTTCCAGGATTAGGATTGATGCACAATCTTGCTTGCTTACGTAATGGTAAGAAATTATGCATTAACCATTAGCCTCTGATTGTTTTTTTTTATAAAAAAACAATATTTGCAAAATTTTCATTGATTCTTCCGGTTGGTTTCCAAATTTCAACTCGGTGATGTGTTTCTTCTTCAATTTTTCCACGACTGGATTTTTGGTTGTCCTTAGTATGTGTCTTTTAAATTACTGGTTTACCCATGATTTTCATCTGTGGCTTATGGTGTCTGTTCATTCTTCAATTAATCAAGCAAGTGTGGTTGCGAACATTCTAGTTTCGACTATGCCATGTACTCCCTCCGTTCACACATACCTTTTGGTTTTGACTAGCAATGGATCAAGTTTGACCATTATTTTTCAAGCAACATCAAATTAAATAGGATAGTTTGAAATATAAGATGCTAATAAAGTACTTGAGATTACATTTCTAGTAGTGCAACTTTGATGCTAAACAATTACACTGTTTTAAATATAGAGTAAAATGCACGGTCGGAACCTAAACTTGGAGCACAGTGTCTGTTAGAGTTTGTGTCGAATATGTGTACTTAGTCGGTTACAGTTTAGGACTTGGAGCTGTAAGAGGTATTAGAACTAGAATAAGAGTCGAACTCTGTCTTAGGATCTCTCATAAATAGAGGGGCATGCCTGTTGTAACCGCATGACGACTTAGCATAGCGAGAGGGAACGGCTGCCGGCGGTGACCGGCTGTGAGTCGTTGTAACTCTGATACGCTGTATATGCTGGATCGGGGAGGAGCGCCCGTAATCAGTGCCCTGGAGATGTAGGCCTCGGCTGAACTCCATTATCAAATATCGTGCCTCGGTGTCGTCATTATGTTTGGATCTACTATGGTGTTTCTTCTGTGTTTGGTTTCCGATGGTAATTTCGGGGCCAGTTGGATAACAAGTGGTATTAGAGCCCAAGGTTTGGAACCTGTAACAATTTCCATGGGTCACATGATGGAGAGGCCAGGTAACAAGTCTTCGGGGTCACATGGGTTGATGTGACGGGGGAGATTGTTAGGCCCGAGGCCCAGGTAACAAGTCTTCAGGTCACATGGGTTGATGTGACGAGGGAGATTGTTGGGCCCGATGTGTGATGGGGGAGATTGTTGGGTTTAGTCCCACATCGGTAATTGATGATGGGAGAGCACGACTTAAAAGGTAGGGGCGGTCCTCACTCATCAGACTTGTCTTTTGGGTTGTGTAGGCCCAGAACCTAAAGTTGGGCCTGTGGTGGAGCAGGCCCAATGTGACCTGGGTGATCCACAGTTGGTGGCCCGGGCTGCGCACTCTAACAGTGTCACTTACATTTATTATCTACCCTATAATTCACCAACTCACTTTTACACCTACATTACTCATTCATCAAATCCAACGGCTCATATTTCTCTACCCCGATCGAACGATCAAGATCAGCTCCGCCTCTCTTCCGCGTGCCGATCGCTCATCACGGCTCCATTTCCGCGCCTCCCCTGCTAACCCCCCACACACATCACGCCCTCACGGCCTCACCCCTCCCTGCCGCATCTTCAACCCCCAACTCACGCATCGCCCCCCTCCTCTCTCCCGGACTCCCCGTCATGAGCCGCCAGGTCGCCGTCGCCACACGCCGCTCCTCTCCCCACTCGCCGGAGGAACTCTCTCCAAACCCTAACCCTAACCTCCTCTCTCTCCACGAATCCGCCCTGCACGCCGTCGCGCGCCGCTCCCCTCCCCACTCGCCAGTTTCCTCCACGTCTCACCTGATCTCCACCTCGAAATCCGCCACCGGAGCAGCGTTGGGTCGTCGCCCTCGGTGGCTCATGTCGCACTGTCGCCCACCTTCGTGCCGCCACCGGTCTCCTCCGCACGGTTTGTTTTTTCTTCCGTTGTCCAGTTTCAATATCTTCTCCCTTCCAGTTCATTATTTTTCTTTGGCCTGGTTGATTTTTTTTACAAACCGGCCAATTTGATTTTGGCTGTGATGTACCAGCAAGGTATGTTTTTGAACATGCACATTATGTTTTCTATTGAATGCTGCAGAAACAGTCCGCCACCCTGTTCGTCAAGCAATTTTGTTATCGATGGTTGGAATGTATTACGCCAATGTGTTAGTGCCAACTAATTTTTGGGTTGCTGCCTGAAATGCTAACATACTATTCTATGCATTCATGATAGTCTGGGGACAAAAGGAAAAAAATATTTCGTGCTTTAGGGGTCAAAATAGGACATGTGATAGTTGGTTGTTCACAAACAGCTAGCCCAGCATTAATCCACTGATGGTCTGCTTGCTGAATTTATTTCTAAGTAATTAGCAATCTTTGTTTAAGCTTGAATGATTTGTACTACAAATTTCCCTTGTTTTTCATGGTATCAGAATAGATTGGAACATGCTAATCTTCTGCTCAAGAAAACACCAATGTTGGAGATGATCACAATTGTCCTCCACTGCTCTTGATCATTCAAGCAGGCATGTACTTTCTTTTGCAGATGGGTACACATTATTGTGTTATGCATTTAGCTACTTGATTAAAATATCATGTGATTTTATAGGCATGTTCTTTTGAATTACCCTGTCTTTCCTGCAATTAATTTATGCAGTATACTAACTGATTAGCACGATCTCATGAATACTACAATTGCAGGCACATATACATACATATACACAAATATATGCCATGGTGTGGATGGAAATCGAGGAGGAATTCTGCATCTGCACTCTATTGACAGAGTTCTACTTATATAAACATTGCAAGTGATGCATCTTTCGGTAATTCACCATAGATAGGCATTGTACTAAACTACTAATACTATAATCTGCAAGTAATACATATCCATCTATTTTTTTCCCTTCAAATCTGCTAGACTTCAACATACAATTTCAAAACCCCAGATATGTGGGTATATGCAGGTGATTTGCAATCACCAACCCCAGATATTTTAACCCTTATAGCTAAACTTTGAAGTCCATATGTTAGGCGCAGAGTGGTAAAGTGGTTTATGTCTATTTTGATCGAGCAGTTTGGCGAGCGGAGACGTGGAATTATACAATGGTAGTTCAGGAGAATTGACATAGGCATAGGTACTATTTTTACTGATAGATGTATTTTGAAATCTTCATGGATTATGGAGCGGAATAGCTAAACTTTTCTCTGCTGTATTTACTCTGCTGTAACTTAGATCCAATTGTGCAGTGTTCATGGTATGTCTGATGTTGCTTAATTAGATATGCTTATGCTCTTAGTGGAATCACTAATAAACATCGCCGGATATGTGACCTTTTAGATATGCTTGTGTGTTTGCTTCCTGGAGATTTGGTTGGGTTGGAACAAAATGTTATTTATTTGCTTTAAAATGCAGTGCCCTATGTATTACGAAAATGTACTTCCTTTAATTGAGTCTAATGGCTTAGAATCACTATGATATTGTTTAATTGTGTGGAGAACATGACAAAAAATATATAAAATGGAAACATAATATACTGCTGCTGTAGGATCGAATCACAAGAACTAAGCCAACCAGAGGGAGGGGGTGAATGGTTGGTATACCCAAAAAACCGAAAACTTTTAGCGGAAATAAAAGTTACCCTCGAAATCGATGGAGATCGGTCTGACCGAAGTTGCCTTGCCGGTCTGACCGCTCGGATGTCGTCGGTCTGACCGGTATAGATCAACCGGTCTGACCGCCGAAGCTGCTCGCCGCGCTTGTCACCGCCGCCGGTCTGACCGCTGTGCTCCCGCCGGTCTGACCGCCGAAACCTGGTAAACACAAATCGAAGAACTCTTAAAGTGGATGACGACTTTATTGATTCTCTCTGTTTTTACAAAGTGCACCAACAGCACTCCTTACAAAAATTTCGACTAAACTCGAAACCCTAACTCGAAACTCAACTCTATTGCTCTCGAAAGCAATACCGGGAAGCCTCACGCTCCCCCTCTACGGTCATGTGCCGCGAACAACCGGAATTCACGATCCACACGTTCTCCTTTCTTGCCACCAAAGCCTACATACAAGCAGAAGTCGAAGCCTCAGTACTGGGATTAGATGATAATAAAAATTTAGGAATCCAGTACTGAGACACACGACCAGAAGATCCAATAGACATATATCCA